TGTTCAAGATCCTGAAGGCACTTAACCAGATGGATGTTGAAGAGATGTTTCCTCTTGTTGGAGAATGTAGAACTAGGGGGTCACTGTTTAAAAATAAAGGGTCACCCATTTGAAACAGAGATGAGAAAATATTCTTCTGAGGGTTGAGCACCTTTGGAATTCCCTTCTTCAAAGGCAACGGATACAGAATTTTTAATTGTTTGCAAGGCAGTGGATGATAGATTCTTGATTACCTAGGGGATGACAGGTTATCGAGGATATGTAGGAACGTAGAGTTGAGGTTAAAACCAGATCAGCCATGATCCTATTGACTGGTGCAGCAGACTCGAAAGGCTGAATAGCCTACTCTAGTTCCTTATTCACTACTTTGTACATTATTTTCAATTAACAAAATATCTCAATTTATAAAATGGTTATTGCAAAAGAAATATTCTTTCAAGTCCTTAAAGAACTCCTGTCAGGAAATGGTATACTCAAATGTTAATTGAAGGTTTACTTTATTGCTACTGCCAACTGTGCATGAACTGTGGAATGGGCGATATGTTGGACTTCTATAGCATTAAAGAAATATAAATAGATATGAATGAGGCTTTATGAGTTCCTCACATAACCTGAGAAGGCAGATTGCTGCTGTGTTTTCCATACATCTCAAAAGGAGCAATAATTTAATTAAAATGGAAATTCCAAAAACAAACCTTCTAAAGAGAGCATAGCTAAAATACTTATGGCCCAGATGGAGATAATGCTTAATGTCTCATTAAAAAGGAGTAGAACATAGAAAGTTAAACCTTTCTTTAAAAGGCCTTAATCTTCATTAGGGCAAAATTACCCTCATAAAAAGAGCAATAAACATTAAACACAGTAAAGGGGAATGTGTACATTTTACAGATTATTAAATCTCGCCATATAATAGAGAGACACTAAAATAATGTAAAAAAACTAGACACCAGACATCACTGAAGAAAACTAAGCAATTAGAAAAAAACAAATTTTAATATTAGTGGACATTTGTGTGTTACAGAATTCTGTTGATGTCACAGTAAGATTTAAACGTAGTTCTGCTAGTTCCCTTTGAAAATCATTTAAAATATTAGTTTATAGTTTGTGGAAATAGCAAAAACTGTAATTGATGGTTACAATTAGGTAGATTTTTATTGGAATCTGGAAATGAGAAACAGTCTTCCCAAGTTTATTAGTAGCTCACATTGCCAAAGTCTCTGCCCACTATCAAACATATATCTCTATTATACAGGGGAAAAGAATAGAATTTACTTGTAAAAAAGCAATACAATTACAAGTGAATAGTATAACATGGTCATCCTATTTGTATACAAACATACTCACGTATGTATAATTTTAAAGGCAATACTCAAGACCTCTCAACAGTCTAGTGGCTAAAGTCACCATTAAGTATGGTATAAGCTGGAAGGTTTAAGTAATTGCAGTTTTGAATGGCATCGGAGGATTGCAATTGTTTTTAGCATAGACTGGTGTGCCTGACATCGGTGGTGGGCAAGTTGTTGGAGGGAATCCTGAGGGATAGGATTTATATGTATTTGGAAAGGTAAGGACTAATGAGGGATAGTCAACGTGGCTTTGTGCATGGGAAACTGTGTCTCACTAACTTGACTGAGTTTTTTGAAGAAGTAACAAAGAGGATTGACAAGGGCAGAGCAGTGGACATGATCCATATGGACTTCAGTAAAGCATTCGAAAAGGGTCCTCATGATAGACTGGTTAGCAAGGTTAGGTCACACGGAATAGAGGGAGAACTAGCTATGTGGATACAGAACTGGCTTGAAGGTAGAAGACCGAGAGTGGTGGTAGAGGGTTGCTTTTCAGACTGGAGGCCTGTGACCAGCGGTGTGCCACAAGGATCGGAGCTAGGACCACTGCTTTTCATCATTTATATAAAATGATTTGGATATGAATATAGTAGGCATGGTTATTAAGTTTGCAGAGACAAAAATTGGAGATGGAGGTGGAGGTGGAGGTGGAGGTGGAGGTGGAGTGGATAGTAAAGAAGGTTACCTCAGAGATCAATAGGATCTTGATTAGATGGGTTAGTAGGCCAAGGAGTAGCAGATAGAGATTAATGTAGATAAATGTGAGGTGCTGTATTTTGGAAAGGCAAATCAGGGCAGGACTTATACACTTAATGGCAAGGTCCTGGGGAGTGTTGCTGAACAAAGAGACCTTGGAGTGCAGGTTCATAGTTCCTTGAAAGTGGAGTCGCAGGTAGATAGGATAGTGAAGAAGGCATTTAGTATGCTTGTCTTCATTGGTCAGTGCATCGAGTATAGGAGTTGGGAGGTCATGTTGCTGCTTTACAGGACATTGGTTAGGCCACTTTTGGAATACTGCGTGCAATTCTGGTCTCTGTGCCATGGGAAGGACGTTGTGAAACTTGAAAGGGCTCAAAAAAGATTTGCAAGGATGTTAGACAACAAGGTGCAGGGCTGGATGAACACAGCAGGCCAAGCAGCATCACAGGAGA